AGCCTTCGGGCGGTGACAACAGTGCCCCGAGGCTTTTTGTGGGTGTGTGTGTGTGTGTGTTATCGATACCTGCAGCCATGAAAAGCAGTAAAAACCGTGGAGCTTACATTGTCAATGGTGGCCACCAGGAGGAGGATGATGCCGATGATGTGAACGGCGAAGATGGCAGCGAGGAGAATCAGCATGATGACTGTGCTGCAGGGGGGGGGGGAGAGGGAAGGGGGGAGAGAGGGAGGGAGACAGTGAACTTGTTAAACCACTTCCCAAAACCTTTTCATTCACGATAAAAAACGATGATGGACGGCCAGACTCACACACACACACACACACACACACACAACAAGGGTCTACACAACAGAAACGAAAGTCACTTCCTGCTTTTCACATCAGGACACGGAGGCCCTGGAACACACACATTGAGTGTGTGTGTGTGTGCGTGTGTGTGTGTGTGTTCGTGCCAAACCCTGGCACCGACTCAGGGTGTGGCTTCACGACTTCTAATTACTCTGAGCTGCAGCTACGGCTCCTTCAGTCCGACGCCTGCAAATAAAATAAAAAAGTTCCCGTTGAGACGCAGCGAGGAGACGGGAGACGCTCCGAGGGTTTGGGGGCGTTCGCCCTGGTGGAGACGGAGACTTCGGTGAAGTGAAGCGCAGCAGCTCAGAGTCCCGTCGGGACGATGAGTTTGGACTTGTCTCCTGAGAGAAAGAGAAAAAAAAAAAACCTGCCACTCCTTAAAATAACTGCAGAGAATACCTGCTCTGCCACTGGGCAGAATCTACCCCACAACCTCTCAACTGTCACTGTCGTACAGCCCCGAGAAAACGTCACCTCCACGTCACTCGCAAAAATGGGAATTCTGGAGATGTTTTTATTGTGTTTTTTTTTTTGTGTGTGTGAGGTTCGACTCCAGTCTGGAAGGCGTGAACGCAGGAAGAGGAACATTCCAAATGTGCTGCTTCTCTCCACGTTAAAGGAGTGGTCAAGGGCTGGGCCCACACACACACGCTCTCACACACACTCTCACACACACACACGTCAGTGCTAGCTCCCTTTAACACCAAACTACACACACACAGAGGCAACAAACAGTGAAACAGTCCAAAATTCAAATTGCTCTGACTGGATGAACGTCTGCTCTCTGACCAGACTTTAGTCAAATGATTTCACCTCATTTTACTGAACGTCTAGTTGAAAAAATAGTAAAAAAAAAAAAAAAATTCAAATTAAACTCAGCAACAGCTGCTAAACTTCCTGTCAACTGTGTTCTTTAATCCGACTCCGTTCATTTCCGGGATAAAAGTGACACAAACAGGAGCATTAGAAAAGTTCAAACACAAAAATTAAAAATTAAAAAAAAAATACAAGACAAACAAGTCAGAAAACAAGGATGCTAGGATTTCAAATTTAAAATAAAATGTTTTCAGTTTAGATTAAATGAACATGACTTTTTTTTATATATATATAAATGTTAAAAGTTGTTGCAATTAAGAAGTAAAGTTGGCAGTGACGCTGGACAGGTTTGGGAGCACACACCCAAAAACTCCAGCATGTGTCGTTACGGCCTGGGAAAAAAAAGGTTAAAATTCCATTTCCTTAATGAAAAACAGTCCAAACCCTGGAGTCAAAAACTGTAGAACGGAGAAGAAGAAGAAGAAGAAGAAGAAACGGAGAGAGAATTGAAAAGGTTTTTTTTTTCCACTTGAAGATATTCTCTGATCGTCCGACTCTTCGAGTGTAATTCCTCCGGCCGTCTGTGACACCAGAGTCTAAATGTACAAACACTAGAAACCGCCGCTCACCGCCCACTTTGACCCCGCCCTCGTCCTGAGGCCACGCCCCCAGACAAGCCTCTCTCTCTCTGAAGATATTCTCTCTTCTTCTCCTCCTCCTCCTCCCCCCTCTCACCCTCTGTGACTCCGTGTTTACTCTACACATACTGTGAAGGCAGACTCAAACACAGCCGTGACTCCTGATTGGCTGTTCCTGCTGCGTCTTCATCACTCAGCTGACGATGATGATGGCGAGATGATGACTCACCGTGGGGGAAACTCCCACAACACTGGACCTTTATTGACAGTGACTCTACGCTGGTTACCATGGAGACCACCTCAGATGTCCTGACCGCAATCACAGAGTCAACTCCAGCATAAACACAGACACGGTCAGAGTCACAGTCAGCAGGACCAGCAGGGTGAGGGTTCTTCCTNCCCGCTTTTGTTACACAGAGGGTGAAGGAATGTTTTTGGTCATGAGGGAAAAAAAAAGAAGGTGGAGGCAAACGAGTGCAAGTCATGGCACGAGTGTGAGAGAGAAGGAGAGAAGGAGGCCCGGGAGGGAGGAGGACGGAAAGAGAGACAGAGGTAGAGAGAGACAGAGAGAGACAGAGAGAGAGAGTACTGTATTTGGAGGAGAGACGTTTCGTACAGCTGTGAGTGGAGTGTGTGTGATTATTAGTCACAGTTTCTTATCCTGGTGTGGTCGAGGTGATACTGACGGGGAGTTCATGGACTCTGAGTCAGGTACTGGTACTGGTACTGTATATACTGGTATACTGGAGTATTTTTTGAGTACTTGGAAGGGTTTTACTTTGACACAAACTGCGTCTGTTCACCAAGCTGGTATTATTTTACTTTTATTTATTTATTTTCAGAAATATGACATATTCAGAAAAACTAAAAAAAAATTTAAAATAAAATAAAATAAAACTAAAAAAAATCTGAAAAAGAAAAAATCCCCCCCAAAATATAAAAAAAACATTTAAATAAAAAAAATACATCAACAAAAAATGACAACAATATTTTTTTTTAATTTCATTTAAATCAATAGAATACTCTTCCAGAAAAAAAAAGTAAAAAGTGTAAATTCCAGTCACTAATCAAACAGTTCCAACATTTGTTTTTGCAGCTGAGGTTACAAATATGAGGAGGTCAAAGGGAAACAGCCGCAGCTTCAGGCCTGACTTCACCCTCAGAGGCTGAACATTCTCTTCATTCTTCAAAATGTGTTGGTTTTTTGTAAAAAAATCACACGTCTGAATGAACGTCTCTAGGAAACAGTGACTAAACTGGGCAGCAAAAAAAAAAGGAAGTGGAACCAAGACGAGGTGCGTGGCTGATGACGGTCACCATAACAACGGTCGGACGGGACGGTCACCAAGGACAACACAGATAACACTGTGGCTGCTGACCTGCAGAGGCAGGAGTCTGAGTCAGTACCTGGTCAGTACCTGGTCAGTACCTGGTCAGTACCACGTCTGTCTTTACTTCATCCTCAGCTGTGAGTCAGACTGATAATGATAATGTGTTCAGGACGGATCAACACCAGGATCCAGAGAACTGACTGAGCAGACGATGACGGAGACCTGCATCAGAAGAGCTCAGGGGGGCCCCCTAGTGGAGGCGTGGTTAATGCTACTGCCACAACGCAATGAGGTTGAAACGATGGTCTCTGTTCTCTGGAGTGTGTGTCCAAAACCATGCAGATTTGGTCAATCGAATAATATTTTTTCTATTTTTATATATTTGTACAAATATATATTTCTATATATTTGTACAGATAAACACAGCAGAAAATCTGCCCTCTGTATTTACCCCATCCATTCAACAGGAGCACGTGGTGTGGCCCACCTCTGTTGGCGCTCACTCAACACACCACTGCCCTACCCTGGCCAGGATTGGAACTGCCAGTCCTCTGATCACGACCCCTTTTAACCGCCAGGCTGGACGCGTCTGACCTTTGTGACCTTAGGTGATGTTTATTAAAAATACTGTAGTGGAGACGAAAAACTCCACGATAGTCAGAAGAGTTCCTGAGATTTTACCAAACGAAGAGGAAGTCGGAAAATCATTTAGTCCCGGCTACAGGTCAGCGTTACTGCGATATAAGAAGATGAAGAACGTCAGCACCTCAGCTGAGGACGGGCAGGACCGCCGAATGTGCATGACCTTTATGACCTTGTCATTGGACTACATATGGACCTAGCTACATTTGGACATCGGGGGGAAAAAAAAAAATCTCGTTCACGCGTTCACGTGCAGAGAGGAAGTCGTGTCAGTGCCGGCCTGCGGTCCAGATCGGCTTCTGGAAGGACAAAAAAAAACACGATCATGGAACCGTTGGGAAAGAGAAGCCTCCAGATGTTGACACAAGGTCTGGTGACGTTGATTTGAATGTTGCCATGACAACACTGTAAAACTCAGAACCAGTCCGGGCCATTCAGCTCCGTCCTAACCGACGGGGTTTGCGATGTCACACCTTGACCTGCGCTCAGCTTCCCGTCTCAGACAAATCTTTCTGGGAACACCTGTGAGTCAGGAGGATTTGTCAAATTCAGGTTTTGGACGACGGTTGTTTGCCGTCTTAGAAATCCAAAATGCACATAATAAATGTTGCCAGTAATCTCTTCATTGACATTCACGAACGCACGACTCCACCCCAGTTGACGGACAACTCCCTCCGTGTGAGCAGGAGCCGTGGATGTGTTCATCGGACCAGGACCAATCAGGTTTGAGATCCCACGCGTTTCAGTCGGTTTGAAAAGTGTTTCGTCGCAGAAAAACACAAAGACAGAGACAGAGAATAATAAAAAAAAAAAAAATTGATGTGAGAACAGAGAATGCGGTTCAACCTGATTCTATTCTGGGCGTGCCCCCCCCGGCCCTGCCCCCCCCCTCACCTTACAGGTGAGGTAATCTGGGGTTTGTAGTGAGCCCTTCAGGCTCCTGTGGCACTCCTACTGCAGTGAGTTCAACAAATGTCGTTTGTTCTGTAGTTGTGCAATAAAAAAAAAACGAAAAAAAAAAAAACTTGACTCGACTTTTTGGTTTTATTTATTAAAAAAAAAAAAGAAAAACAAAACAGGAAACAGTGTGAGGCAGCCGCCGTCTGTTCTCACAGTCAAACTCAGTAGGTGGCGTTACTTTATGAGCCTGCGGGTGGAGCCGCAGCTACAACACATGTTGACAAATCACATGTGTGCACAACTGCCGTGGTGGACCAATGGGAGGGCTCGCTCAACAATCAGGCTTTTGTCAGGCTGCCACTGCTGATAGGTACTGGAAAAACCAGAGTCACGGAGGAAGAAACAGACGCCACATTGTTTGACCTGCCAGATGTTAATGACGGCTCCTTACGAGGGTTCCTCAGGTTGGGCCACCTCGGGGCGGTTGGCTGTTCGGTGCAGCTCCCTGTGGAACCGTAACGAGGTTTGAAGGCAGAACGGAATCTGCTTGAGAATCCTAACATTTGTTTTACGCAAACACATTTCGACAGCAGTGAGCGCTCGTCAACATTCCGTCATTCCTCTCTGCGGAGAACGCAGAGTGCAAAAGTCTTAGGCAGGTGTACGCATACATTTGCATTTTCTTTTTTTTCAAGTATATTTTTCAAATTCTCTCGCAAACGGGAGGTCCTGGGTTTGAATCCCGACAGTGCCTTGCCATGCTCCTGCCTTACAGTATTGTTAGTCACGGTCATTAAAGTCCGTCAACTGGTGGCTTGTCGTTTTAATATGTTGGTTCGAATCCCGAACTTCAGCCTTGGCTCCTGGAGCGCCTGTCACTGCCGCTGTGTGTGTGGGAACAGAGAGAATAAACGTGGTTGATGGTCTGAAACCCAGATGCTCATCATGCTACTGAGATCCATTAAACCTGGAGGAGCGTGGGCCAAAGAATCATCAGCAGCGATTGGTCAGCAGCCCGACTGAGTCATGTTGGAAAAACGACAACGAGAAGAATCACTTCCCGTCATCGAGGTCAATACAGAGTTGGACCAACGAGGGATTCGGAAACGTTTTATGTTTTTCTACACTGGGATTTGGGACTCGGGGGAATCAAACTCCAAACCCTCTGAGGTGCAGATCCTATCAGTCACCACTGCAGTATTTATGATCCTGTGTTAAGAAAACATCGTAAAAACTTGACTACAGTGACGGCTAGGTCAGGTTAGGTTTGCGACTCATACTCAGATGCGAGTATAAGTCGCAAACCTAGTATATTAAAATATATAATTTCACATGTTTGTTATTTTCACACTGACAGCCACTAGAGGGCACTGGTTTGACTTTTTCTTTTCTTTCTTCTTCATTTTGCATTTTTTTTGGCTAGCGCGACTTATAGTCCAGAAAATACGGTCGTTGGAAAATTCTTAAAATTAAAAATTATAATTAAAAACCAATTTAAATAATATTCTAAAAATAATTTCTTTCTAAAAATGTCATGGTTTTTTTTTAACTTGTTAACCTGGTGGTGTGAACCGTCCAACTCGTTCCGTCAGTGCGTCTCCGTCTCCGTCCTGCGGGACACTCCCAGTCCTAATTAATCTCTGTTTAATTTGGTGTTGTCAGACATTCATCGCTCTGACACAGGCGGGGGGGGAGAACAGCATCAGCCAAATGTGGGCGACATAAACGGGGTGTAAACAGAGGAACAACAAGGCTGCGGTGGCGGCGGTGGCCAGGAGGGGCTGCTGTTTCTGCTTGACTAATCTCTTAATGAAGGTGTTTACGAGGAGCCGGAGCGAGGGCCGCGTCTCCGCACCGCTGCGTGAAACTGGGAGCCCGCGGAGCGGCCGCTGCATGCCAGAGGAGTGAGGCCGACCGCAGCCAGAGCCGCCGCTGCTTTACACAACAGTAAAGTATCTGTGTGTGTGTGTGAGTGTGTGTGTGTGTGTGTTACACAATGTCGCACCCTGCCCAGGGATTTCTAAACTCTTCTAACAAAAGCTGACTGACTCTGACAGAGAGGGTTTAGTCGTGTTCCTTAGAACCGTGTTCCTTAGAACCGTGTTCCTTAGAACCGTGTTCCTTAGAACCGATCCTGCAGGTACAGAGCAGATGTGTGTGTGTGTTTGTCATTCCTGAGACAGAAACGTCACACACCCTCCACCTGTGCGATACTATAGGAATAATATATCAATCCTGCTAAACAGGATTGAAATTCTTAATCCATTTTATATATTTATATATATGTATACACATATATGCGTAAGTATGTATGTAAATATATATATATATATATAATAGGGCTGTCAATGGATTAAGAATTTCAATCATGATTAATGAGATTTTTAATCCATTGGCAGCCCTATTATATATATTTATATATTTACAATATATATACACATATATATGTGTGCGTACATACATATATATATATATATATTGGGGCTGTCCACGGATTAAGAATTTCATTAATCATTAATGTAAATTGAGAAATACATAAAGAAAACTTTGTTTCTGTATGTTGCTGGAGCAGAAGGACAAATGTCAGCAGGTAGAGGGCAGTGTTTCTCACCTGTTTTTAATGTATTTTCATAGAGTTTCAGTCATGACTGTTGGTGGAACCAGTTCTGGTCTGAACTTCAGTGAAGTCGTTCACGACATTCATCCGTCTACAGTCATGGACGGTCAGTTTGACAGGGACTGTCTGACCGGAAGTGTGTGTGTGTGTGTGTGTGTGTGTAAATCTACATCCTTTCTGCACGGGGGGGGGGGGGGGGGGGGGGTGACACTTTGACAGAGTTTCAGTTTTGTTTTTCAGGAACAGTGAGTGAACGCTGACGGCTTCTTCATCGTGAGTCAACGAAGACAACGACATCATGTTGTTTGGCTGTTAGCATGGATGCTAAACTGTACAAAGACGTAGAGAAGGGTGAGTGGGCGGGGGAGACAAACGGGGGAGAGAGAAGAGAGGCGTGTGTTCAGCTTGCTAACATACAGTCCTAGTCATGTTTTTTGCGATTAGAAGACACATTTTTAATCTGATGTTATTGCACACTGACACCTGTAGGTGTCTACATTTAGACGCTCGATTTTGATCAAATAAAATAAGATAAAACATTTTTAAAAATTTCTAATTTTGCATCACAATATTTAAAATAAATATTTTGAACATTTGTTTAAACACTTTAAGTGAACGAGCAAATATTTGCTGTTTTTGTTACAGAAAATATAAATGATTGAACGTGAATCGTTTGGCTCAGACGGTCGACGACAGACAGACGCTAACCCTGAGTGATGAGCAATCAGAATGAAATTAGCAGACGGTAGAATGTGACTAATGTGTGCAGCTAACAGAACTTCTGCCTAAACAATCGCATGTGTGCGCGTTGGCCGCCCGTCAGTACTATGACAGGACTGGAGCGGAGTACTGCAGTACTGCAGTACTGCGTGTCAGATGTACTGTGGTACACTGTACTCTGTGATTCCACGGCCGTGAGTCAGCGGTGAAAACCCAGCCAGCGTTTACATTCATTTCAAGAATGAATTCCTCATATCTGGAGCAGCCTGGTCGGCTGGTTGCCGTGGTTACCGGCCACAGGTTTTCATTCTTTGATTCACTTCCTCAGCCCCCGGAGCTCCGCTCCACTTTGGTTTGTTTTCTTTTTTTTATCACCTCCTGTTGCTGACTTTTCTACATGTTTTTGTTTTGTTTTCTTCTTCTATGGAGTTGTTTTTGTTTTGTTTCCTGCTCAGAGCCGCCCCCTACATTCGTGCCGCCCCCACAATGCCGTGCTCTTTCAATGAAATCCAGACGTTCACACTGTACTCACGGTCGGGGTCTAAAGAAAACAACTGCTGGCTGTAGCTAGGCAACGCCAAATATGAGTCATCCCACTGCCGCGCCCATCATCATCAGACTGATCTGCCCCC